GGTATGTCTGCGGACTTATATTGCTAGAAACCGGGTTTCAGTACCCTTCTTTTGTTAATAATATTGTTAATTCTCGTTTTTAGGGGCACACAAATTAGTTGTTCTTTAATTATACGTTCTGATATTTATTAAAGTTTACGTTTACGTCCGTGCATGTTGTTGTATCATTTTTAAAGCAGTAATATAGAGGATTTTTTCCGGTGAAAACCGGTTTTACTCTTGTAGTTTCTCTGTGATCCTTGTCACTGCGGTGATATCAGCATCTCTCTTTTTACCTTCATTGTACTTTTCTACTAGTTGAGACTAATTATTGTTCTTTTTTATAATAAATGTAGATTTTTTGTTTGTTTAAAACTTCAGGGTTTATTTATATCCTCCACAAAAGATATGATAGGAAAGTAAGACTAAGGTGTAAAATAAATTATAACATAACTAAAACATATCACAACCTTCTTTGTCATATCTTTTGTGGAGATTATAACATAACTAAAACGTATCACAACTTTCTTTGTCATATCTTTTGTGGAGATTATAACATAACTAAAACATATCACAACCTTCTTTGTTGATGTTATAATAAAATCATTTATGAGAATTCCATAACTTATATTATCAAATTTTCCTAAAATAATAAATATTATTAAATTTTGAAAATGAACTTTCTATAAAATAACTTCCTGCAGTAAAAACATTACAGATACAGCTTTGCTACTTTGCATAAAGTAAAAATCCTATAGTAAATCCAATTTTGTTTCTGTTTTTATATATTAATCCTCAAAATCAACAACTTAGAGTTAATTGTATAAAAATGTCACACGTATTTGAAATTTGTATTTTTTCGTTCAATGAGATTTTTCTTTAATGTAAAATCATGTGTTACAGGTACTTTGTGCGATATTTGCGCAGTCCTCAAGTGGGTCACAAGTAAGTTAATGGACTTACAACGCTAAAATCCGTGGTTCCATTCCTTGTGGTGGATAGAACGCAAGAAGGATATTGTGTAGCTTTGCGCTAAGACAAACAAACGATCATTGTACATCTTTTATAAACGACATTTATGTAATGCAGAAAAGACAGTTTGACAGGGGGGTAACCCAGAATAATTTTAATTATTTAAACGAATGATAGATACTTCTCAAGATTTACATAGGAAAAAGAACAATTTTTAACCCTTCTCTGTCACAAACATATCCATAGGTGTTTTTATAAGATAACATTAGAAAGTATAAAACTTTATCTTAGTTTTTAGGTCAATCTAACCACAGTTAAATATATTCTAGTTGATTACCTCCTGTAAATCGGTAATTATAGTTCTTAGCTCTAGAAAGTATTATAAGATGCAGTTATATGCTCTGTTAGGTCAGTCTTTAGAACAAATTGCCTTATTTAAAATAGGTTTCACTTGAGATATTTCATGTGTTCGTCAGATTAGTAATAGATTGTTATTATTAAATCAATTTATTATCTTCATTATTGTTAAGTCTGAGAACACCACGTGGCTATGATTATGATTGAATTTATATAAAAATATCAGTTCAACATATTCACATAGTAATTAAAAAACCTCTTTCAGTATGCGGTAAAATTTTCGATTCTGCCACGTTAAGTCGGACATGTCGCTGGCTATACTTATCGTTATATATTAAGCATAAAGGTATAGTATGATAGATATGTTGTTAGTATTGATTCAATAAAGAATTATAACGCTTACAACATTATAACGAAGTTTACTCAACATGTTGCTCTTCAACAGAAGTGGCTTGCAGATACTACGAGCTAGTCATAGTAACTAATACGAAAAAAAAGTAAGATAAATATATTTTTTACACCACTTGTAAAGCACTCATTATAGTTTGTCAGTCATATGCAGCATTATATTGGAAACATGCCTGAGTAAAAATTATGGTAACAATCATTTATGGTCAAATGATAAAATATCGTACACTATCGAATTATAAACAAATTCACTCAATAAACACATCCCAGTCTCAACCAAGTGTTGAGGGTCATAAATTTGTCTAAGAGTTGTTTGTTTTTATGGCAACTGCAAATGAGTTTAAGGTAATATTTCGACCAATAGGACCTTTTTCTGCTGGTAATAGTATTTTTATTCTAAAGACCTTCACTTTACATTTGTTCCAGCGCTACTCAACAAGCGCACAATCCAGAAATATATCTTAAACAAAAACACTCAAACACATTTAATCTAGATACATCTTAGTGAAATTCTTTCTGATAAAGAATGCATTTTACCTTGTGGCTACTTTTTTTATAGTGATGTAAAAGATTTCTGGTTGTGCTGTAAAAAATCTTCAAAATTACGCGCGAAGATTCAATCTGCTTTACTTAAATGTTTTAATCATCGTTTGTCTGCTCTAGCCGAAAGTTTTATTGTATCGTTTCATTAGTTTAATATAATAAATTCGGTTTTTATTTCTCTACTGATCTGTATAAAGACTCAGTAGGTTTATAACTTTAAAAATCGAGTTTCGATATCCGCTTTTGGTAGAGCACAGATAGCCCCTTGTGTAGCTATATGCTTTACAACAAACAAACAAAACTATATAAAAAGAGTCACGTTACGTTTTCACTATTTTTCAATATATTTACCACAATAGTCAAATATTTGCTATTGGAAAACATTGTTTGAACATTTTATTATGAAGCGTAAAGACGCCGCCTGCTCTTGGTGCCGTTGTTAACTAACCTCATTACAGTTTTTATTTAATCCTAACGTTAAAATAACAAATACGTATAACTGAACACGCACGTTATATTTTCTGTTAATAGATAAATAGGTAAATAGATAAATGGAAATCATTTTTATTTTTTGATCGTTTCCAAGAATTCAAACTTCACATTTCGTTTCGTCTCATCAATGCACTGGATTGTTTTGTAGTTTCATTTCATAGAAATTAATTTCAAATTGATACGTCTTTATGTATGGTTATATTTATCACAAGAGTCTAGTTTCATTATTAATTTATAGTTTGTTTGTTTCGAATTTCGCGCAAAGCTTCACCAAGGCTATCTGCGCTAGACGTCCCTAATTTAGAGGTGAAAGACTAGACGGAAGTCACCTAGTTATCACCACCCACCGCCAACTCTTGGGCTACTCTGTAACCAACGAATAGTGGAAATGACCGTCACATTATAATGCCCCCACGGCTGAAAGCGCTAGCATGTTTCTTGGGACGGGGATTCGAACCCGCGATCCTCAGATTGCTAGTCGAGCGCCCTAGCCACCTGGCCTTGCCGGGCCCGATTTGTAGTAGGCTAGTTGATTGGAAGTTGTTGATTTTGGGAATAGATGCAGTCTAAACACTGGAAAAATACACTATCCTACAAAAAGTCGAGGGACACAGGTAGTTATGAATAAAATATATCTTTATTCCAAGAAATTAATAGAGTGTTGGCCCGCCTTTGACCTCAATGACTGTTTCAATGCGTCGTGGAAGAAAGCTGGTGGTATTGTGATCCACTCCTCCTTTAAAGCATTAGTAAGTTCTATTACTGAAGAGGGCCATCTTGGCCTTGCCCTAATTCTGCGTTCCAGTTCATCCCAAAGATGTTCTATGGGGTTGAGGTCAGGGTTCTATGCTGGCCACTGCAATGTTCCGATGTTATTCGCTTCAAACCACGCGTTCACAATCGTTGTTTTGTGACATGGAGCGTTATCATGTTGGAAAGTGTAAGTGCCGGTACCATAAAATTACTACAATGTAGGACATACAGAATTGTTCAGTACATCAATGTAGGACTCAGCATTCATCGATCCATGCACTGCGACCAGTGGACCTAGTCCATACAAGAGAAGCACCCCCAGACCATGATACCGCCACCTCCAAACTTTACTGTTGGGACAACACACTCAGGTAATAAGAGTTCTCCAGGCATCCTCCATACCCAAACACGTCCATCAGACTGGAAGAGCGTGTAGCGTGACTCGTCGCTCCACAGGACCGACTTCCATTGATCCACGGTCCAGGTTGGGTGAGCCTTGTCCCATGCCAATCAACTGTGTGCATTTGTTTTTGTTATAAACGGCTTGTGGGTTGCAGCTCTTTCGTGAAAATTCATGCCATGCAGCTCTCACTTGTAATATTGTCTGTGGCTGCTCGTATCTCCAACCACAGATTCTCTAGAATCTGATGGCGAGATGAGGTAACCAGCCTTTTCAAGACGCGTCGGCTCCTGTCAGTTAGTATTTTATGCCTACCTGGTCGTTTCTTGGGCTCATTGTCACCCGTGGACTTCCATTTATACAGCACGTTGCCAACTGTCGACCTGAGAATAACACGTACAGACATTTTCCCCAAATGACATCCAACTATCCTTCCCCTCTGAAATTCTGTTTTAGCTCTTTCCGAATACTTATCGTTCAGCGTAGAACTTCGAAATGACTTCCTAACGAACCGCTGATCCTTTACTTGTTTATCTTGTTCTATATTTATTCCTTAGTCTTCATTCTCTGAAAGTCAGTTAAAAGAAATCAAAAATGAGAAAATTTTATGCGTTTGAGGATGTGTTTTATGATAAAAGGATCTTTTTGTCATAATCTCATTGCTATTGATAAATTTCATTGCTTAGTTACAGTTAAAATGTATTAATATAATATGCTTTATTAAGATCTATGCTTAAGATAACATCGTAGTTCTTGCCGTAAAATGTTTTGTGCCTATTTTATTTAGTGCGGTAATAAAACCTGCCGCAAAACAAAATACTCTTAATTTTTTTTCTAAAATAGAAATTTCTAAACGTTCTCAACGTATAACAACAATTAAGTTGGCAATTCCAAAGTCCGACTTTAAAATGAAATGAAAAATTCGATATTCAATAATATCCAATTTCATATAAATTCGTTTCATATATAAATGTATATGTGTATCATGTATATACTTATTTGTTTATGGAAGTTACAAATCATATTATTTCTTTTGTTTTCTCATATAATAGATATCAAGATTTTCTTATTGAAGACAAAATCTCTCTCCTTTTAGGTTTGACTCCTGACAAGCCGAAAGGAGGGTTACCGTTGAGGCGGTGGCGACGTCAAACAAGACAATACTTACCTGCAGCTCCCGATGTCGTGCTGTTTGGAAACGATAAATCGTAAGTACGCCTACACCTAGCAAAGATCTTTGCTTTCGCGCAAGCGTAATCAATGACGTCAGTAAACTCAAGTGCCAGCGAAAACCATTCTGTGTTCTTACGTGGCTGGAAACCGGACTACTTTCAACGCTGAGTGGGCGAACGTCCATCATGTGCTCGGGATTTCGGGCACTGTTTATGAATACATCATTGCATGCGCATGCGTGTGTTTGTTTATTAGTGATGCGTCAAATACACACAAAATTGTTAAGGCCTTTGATGACAAAGGGCACCATTGAACGTACAAGATCGTTAGAGTTGTCGTTTTGTGAATGAATTCAACAGTGAGGCATTTTTATTTTTTTTAATAATACAAGCGAACGGTCGAACTGCTCTTTACCTTAACTCCATCAAAGAAGAAATACTGGCTGTCTGCTTTTTAAAAGTCTGCGTTGTCTAAACTTTAGTGAACTCTTTAAAAAAATGAGTGATTTTCATCTAACATTTGAGCCGCTCGATGATCTGTTTGAAAGACCGGTATCTGAAATATCAGACGAAGAAGACGACCGACAAATGTCTGAATCAGAGGATGAGAGGTAGGGTTTACTTTCCACGAATGATGTCACGTTTTCTTCAGGTGTTTAGTGACTGGCGGTCGGTGGTGCTCAGGCGTGTTTACGACGAGAATGGAATAAGAGCATATCAAGTAAAACCTTTCATACCGTACTGTTATTAATGAACAGTATCAATATATTCATCATTATTAGGGGTTTATAATTTCGAGGCTGCTTCTTATAAACACAATACGTTAATATATATGTATATATATACGTATATATATTAGTCAAACAAAATTTAATATCAATAACTTCCAGATGCTGTTTTATTATAATTACTGAAATAGGTCAGCTATAATAAGTTCACACAATAATTACATGTTCTAATTATACGTTATATCTGCTAAAAAAAAATAAGCATACACCGTTCACCTTATTTTTCTTTTACGATATATACAGGTAGCACATATAATGCCACTTGTTGAAACTCGCGCTTGGCGTAGGCCCGGCTGAGGAAGACATCGGAAAGCTTGCAAGCTTATGACCTCTTTTCCTAGCTACATACTTGTTGTTAGGAGAAACAAAATCTACGGCTTACCGACCTTAAGTTAGGGTTTGATGTGGGACAGACAGTAGTGGCGTAGTATGACATACTTAATCTTACTCAATCTTACAACTAATATTCAAAATATCATTGTCATCGGTGACTTTCATGTCATATTCTAATCATGACGATTTCAGAATATTGTAATAACATAAGAAGCTCATATTTATCCACTTATCGAGATCAAAAATATGTGATTGACTTATGTTACTATGGATATGATAGCTTCTCATAAACACGTGTATCTTTCAACGGGATATTTTGAAATCATTCTCTCTCTTTTTTAATTTTATCCTAATCTATCTATTCGTCTTTTCCAGAGCATGATAACTAGAATTAATTGCTTTAAACACAATTTTATTATTATTGTCAACAGAGCATTGAAATATTTTGTTTGTTTGAAATTAAGCACAAAGCTACTTGATGAACTATCTGTGCTCTGCCCACCATGGTTTCTATCGTTGTAAGTCCGCAGACATACCGCTGTGCCACCGGTGGATACATTGAAAGAATAATTCCTATCAATAGTTAGAGTTCATATTTGATTCCACCGATCGATATGTGGAAACCAATAAACAAACAAAGTATTTACAAAATAAATAATCTAATAAATAATTTCATGCACACATAGGCATACATTTATATTTCAATAGTTATAACGTTTAGTTTCACAATATTCATATATGTCAAGAAAGATTTCTTAATTTCATGCACACATAGGCATACATTTATATTTCAATAGTTCTAACGTTTAGTTTCACAATATTCATATATGTCAAGAAAGATTTCATAATTTTATGCACACATAGGCATACATTTATATTTCAATAGTTCTAACGTTTAGTTTCACAATATTCATATATGTCAAGAACGATTTCTTAATTCATTGGATATGAATGTCCAAATCAGAATGGTTTTAAATAGATTGGCATTCTTCCATCTTAGAGGAGAAAAGATTAGAGCATAGAGTGGTTTGTGTAGGTTTGAATATAAATTATGTGGGATATTTGTAGAAAGAGAAAAGTAGTGGGAAAAAAAAGGTTCGACATTCTTTGATTTTGACTTAAATAAAACAGTCTTAAACTCCATAAACTAAAGGTAAGCAACTTTGACATATTTTGTAATAAAACAAAATCAAACACAATAAAACAAATATTATTTGAGAACTGTTCCCGGAAAGTTATTAACTCAAAAAACTAATCTATGCTTTAGAAATTGTGTACACATATAGAGTTAATGAGAATAACTAAGCCTTGTAAATTATCTTACTTAAGCTATCATAGACATATATTAGTTAGAATTGACTACTGGAAATTCAATGGTTTTTTATATAAATCTATAGATGTACGACATGAATTTTAGCATAATTTTGTGTCAAAAATTATTTTTGTTTCGCTGGTAAGTTCGGTTTAGCTTTCTAAGATCATTTGGAGGTTACCATATAAACGTCCTGATCAGTTCTGCTTTCTCAGCTTCAACTTTTGTACCGACGTCACTTTTATATTAATGAAAGAGGTAAATATATTTATACGTGTTATGTATATTATAGCAGCTTCAAAGTAATTTTACGATATTATCCTATGCCTAAATGTTATAGTTACAAGTTCACTATGTTTAATTTCTCTCTTAGTACAATTATAGCAAAATTTACAATTTATCTTTTTAGATTTGTTATGTTGGTCTTCTCTTCAAATTATGAATATCAAGAAAGCAATATTATCGTTCCTTACCATCATGCTTCGACAAATACTTCACCAGTTTAACGTGTGTTTGTAAATATAATATATTTATATATACCATTCAGAGGCACGTAGAATGGAATGATCTAATTTTAGTTCCAATCAAGAATTACGTCACAATGACTTGGTTCGGTTTCAATTTCAGGTCACTTTATTATGAATACAGTTACATTCTAAGTACATTTTCTGTATCGTGCCGATTCCAGGAATGATTTAATAAGCTAATAGAAAGTGTATAACACAGGTTTTCTAAGGTTTAATCATTGTAATTCCACTATTTTGTCTTTACAAAATAAAGTTTTGAAGTATTTACGCACCAAAAATATAATCCGCTATCATTAACAGTATGCAAAGTTTCCAAGAAACATGTCATTAATATTTACACTAAAATTACAACAAAATGACACGTAAAAAGCGTTCTCTGAACTACTATGATGTAAGTATTAATTTTCAACATCCTGAACAATTCTTCATAAAAGGATGAAACTGTAAAACTGCGACGTTGTTGTTACAGTAATCCTCAAGAATAACACTGTGATGTTGTTGTTACAGTAATCCTCAAGAATGACACTGTGATGTTGTTGTTACAGTAATCCTCAAGAATGACACTGTGATGTTGTTGTTACAGTAATCCTCAAGAATGACACTGTGACGTTGTTGGTACAGTGATCCTTAAGAATGACACTGTGATGTTGTTGTTACAGTAATCCTCAAGAATGACACTGTGACGTTGTTGGTACAGTGATCCTTAAAAATGACATTGGAACGTTGTTGGTGCAGTGATCCTTAATAATGACATTGCAACGTTGTTGGTGCAGTGATCCTTAAGAATGGCATTGCAACGTTGTTGGTACAGTAATCCTCAAGAATAACGCTGTGACGTTGTTGGTACAGTAAATCTCAAGACTAACATTGTGATGTTGTTTGTACAGTAATCCTCCAGAATAACCCTGTGATGTTGTTGGCACAATGACCCTCAAGAATAAAGTTGTGACGTTGTTGGTACAGTATTCATCAATACCTTGAAACGTTGTTTACATAGTAATCCTCAATAATAACACTGTGGTGTTGTTGGTATAGTGATTCTCAAGAATAACACTGTGACACTGTTGGTATAGTGAATCTCAAGAATAACACTGTGACACTGTTGGTATAGCGATCCTCAAGAATAACACTGTGACGTTATTGGTACAGTGATTCTGAAGAATAACACTGTGATGTTGTTGGTACAGTGATCTTTAAAAATAACACTGTGACACTGTTGGTACAGTGATTCTGAACCAATAACACTGTGATGTTGTTGGTACAGTGATTCTGAAGAATGACACTGTGACGTTGTTGGTACAGTGATCCTTAAGAATGACACTGTGATGTTGTTGTTACAGTAATCCTCAAGAATGACATTGTGACGTTGTTGGTACAGTGATCCTTAAGAATGACATTGGAACGTTGTTGGTGCAGTGATCCTTAAGAATGACATTGCAACGTTGTTGGTGCAGTGATCCTTAAGAATGGCATTGCAACGTTGTTGATACAGTAATCCTCAAAAATAACGCTGTGACGTTGTTGGTACAGTAAATCTCAAGAATAACATTGTGATGTTGTTGGTACAGTAATCCTCCAGAATAACCCTGTGATGTTGTTGGTACAATGACCCTCAAGAATAAAGTTGTGACGTTGTTGGTACAGTATTCCTCAATACCTTGAAACGTTGTTTACATAGTAATCCTCAATAATAACACTGTGGTGTTGTTGGTATAGTGAATCTCAAGAATAACACTGTGACACTGTTGGTATAGCGATCCTCAAGAATAACACTGTGACGTTATTGGTACAGTGATTCTGAAGAATAACACTGTGATATTGTTGGTACAGTGATCTTTAAAAATAACACTGTGACACTGTTGGTACAGTGATTCTGAAGAATAACACTGTGATGTTGTTGGTACAGTGATTCTGAAGAATAACACTGAGATGTTATTGGTACAGTGATCCTTAAGAATAGCACTGTGATGTTGTTGGTACAGTGATTCTGAAGAATAACACTGTGATGTTGTTGGTACAGGGATTCGTAACCAATAACACTGTGATGTTGTTGGTACAGTGATTCTGAGCCAATAA